CGAATATAATCTCTGCAAGGCATGCCTGTTGTAAGAGGCGACTAAAAACCATATGCACTAGTCAGGCTTTAGAGACCATGTTTTGATGTCAACATGGTCTAAGTTAGATAAGTGCTATAATATTCAGCTGGAAGTCAAATTCTGAGTTTTATATTTATGTCACAAAATATAAAGCATTTGTCACAGCTACAAATGCAACCAGTCATTGATATGGGGACTCAACTGGTAGCAGCAAATACTACAAAGTCAGACCAAAGACTGTAACTTGGTGCCACGGGGAGCAGTTAGCCCTTGGAGGTAACTCCAATCTGCTCATTGGGTTTATCCCGTTGCGGAGATTCGTGGTGGCTGTGGTTTATACCTAAATGCAGGAAGGGCATTTTGTCCAATTTGGAGTCGTACTGCGGCCGGGTGTCGGACCCAAAGTACGGCAGAGGTTTTAGATGGGCCAATTGGAACCATCAATTAAGTGCAAAATGCATTTATGCTTTGGTGCGCTGATCAACGCATTGTATTGATCTTTGTGCTTCTAGCAATAGAAAGCACAGTGGAGTTTAGTCTTCGTAGACAAGTATTCACGTAAAAACACATTAACATTCTTCACTACTGGTGATGAGTTGTGGGCTTGTGAATATGACATCAAAGTTATTTAAGTGGGTAGGGAATGCCGCACCAAAAATATACCGAAACAGGTGGCAAGCGCTGCCATAGTAATTTAGCGAAAGTAAACATTCTACACATAATCGAGTCTGCTTAGTATGCCTCCCTGACAAAATAAAATTATAAATAAATTATTGTGTAACAATGTCAAGTTGAAAATCCATGACCTTTTTTATAACGATTTTTTAATAATGTGGTGAGAAATTCTAATGAGATTGCTTGATTGTCTGTGTACTATAATATTACAAGTAAATGTCATTAAGGTGATAAAGTACTTGGCCATTACAATGCAGCAAACTCGCTTGTAATAATGAACTTACAACGCTGATGTTACTAGTAAAATGAAAACTAAGAGATTAGTTTGGTCAAATGACAAATGTAATGTTGTTATTACAATAAAATGGACTAAAAACCACTACAAAATTCCCCTCCTTAAATCCCTTCAGTAAAAGCGACTATTTACGAAACGATGACGAGCGCAGTTATCGGAATAAGGAAGAATACGTGTGCTTAAATTGTAATCACAGAAACTTACAATTACAAAAACTGAAACTAATTAAAAAAAAAAATATTTTGATATACGAAATTTTCGGTAATGATTACTGCAATTATAATCATGACTACAAATTTAATAATTACGAAAACTGAAACTTATAACCAAAATTATTTTAACCTGCCAAATTCTGTGCTAATTATTAAAGTAATCATGAAAAATATGATTACAAGTACTTAAATTTTAATCCCAAAAATTAACAATTACGAAAAATTACAAAATTACAAAAATTAAAAAAAATTGAAATTCTCATCTTCGAAATTTTTAGTAATCATTTCTGTAATGGTAATCATGAGCATCATTACCAGTACTTTATTAAAAAAATAACAATTACAAAAACTGAGAAATAAATATGAAACGATTTTCTATAAAATGTTGGACAATGATTACACTAATAGTAATCATGAGTAATGCCATTACTAAGAATAGAAATTGTCATTCCAAAAATTTACAATTATGTATACTGAATCATATAAAATACTGATGTTCTAGTCTACGAGATTTTTGGCAATGACTCCTGTAATTACAGTCATAAATATGGGATTACTAGGAGTTAAAGCTCACACATTAAGCACATAAACTGAAACTAACGCAAACTATTATAAGTTCAATTACAATTGAGTAATTGCAATCATAAAAATTAGTTACCAGTATTAAAATTGTAATTGTTAACAGTAATCGTTAAATTTTTGTTACGATAAATTACAATATATTTTCATTTAATTACAATTACAGTAAACGGTAATCAAAATGTAATTATGCAACCAAGCCTTCGAAACAAAGTTTTTATGCAGATTTCTTAGGAATGTTCATATTATTTTAACGAAACTGACATCGTTTTTGGAAAACTATCAAAGCTATTGACATTAATAGCTTATGATACACCATAAAATGACTTAAACATAAAATAATAAATTTAGACTAAGTAATGCTTTCACTAAAATTTTTGTAGCTTTCCATGTCAACATTGACGATACTTGTGAAAGTAAGTGTTAGGATGAGTAGAAGAAAATTTCATAATTAAATCAGAAATAGTAGTGATCAATCCACTGCTCTAACTCCCATAACATCATTCAACTCACTTCTATCTCTCTCACTCGTTTCGCTCTCTTTTTTAATCGAATAAAAATCTCATCAACTTTCATTAAATTCATTTCTCTTTATTCAACACATTCGCATAAGAAGTCGCATTACTGTTATCCAATATGGTAACACTCTCGTGCAACGTACTACGTGGCGTCAGCCAATCGCGTGGCAATAAGCGTTGCAAGAACGGCACATAACCGCTAATTGTTGCCAAACGATTCACCCAACCGGGTATACCCTTGCCGCACAGGAATTGCGACATATAATCACAAAAGTGATTGCAATTATTGTGTATCAAGTGATATGAATTGCCAGTGAATCGCTGACCCAATTCCTCGACAATCTGATACACCTGCTCGTTGGTAAATTGTGTGCAGCCCAACTGTACCGTTTGGCGAAATTGAAAATTCGGACCCAAATCCGCATAATCACGTGGCAACATTTCAAAAATACCTGTAAATGGAAATTGATGGCCGCCATAGGCGAATTCAGTGCCGTATAATTCGACGCCCGAATGAAAGACACCGAGGCCGATGTAAGAGGAAAGCTCATTTATTCGTAATATATCGTAGACATTCAGCTTGACCGGTTCACAAGAGAGCCCCAGTCGCGCATGATCACAATTACGTGGTTGTCGCCGCCTCGATGTGCCTGTCGTGTTGGTGGCTGTAGTTGTAGTGGCCGTCGCTGTTTCGGCACTTCCATCATGCCGACGCGTGAATGGTGATTCAAAACAGCTGCCGAAACTGAATTTGCTAAACCTCGCTTGATTCGTATGCATTTAAAATCGTCTCCTCGTTTTAGCAATATCTCATTTTATAAAATAAATGAATCAAAAATTGTGGAATGGAAATATTGTGAAAATAAGAACTTAAGATTTTGAACTGAATTTTGAAAATTGTGACATTGTAAATAGCAGAGAGAAAGAGCTAGAAAAAAGTAAAGTTGTTCGGAGAGTATTTGATTTATTATATTTTTATTCATTTGTGGCACTCTGTGTTTCGAATTCGGCTTTAAAACGGTTGGGTGGAAAGAAGATGTCCTCTAAATTAAGAATGAACATATTTATTTAAATTAGTAGTATTTATTGAAAAAATAACTTTAACTCCCGAAGAGGTGGTCATCTTTTTCCGGGGCCATGCTTGGTAGTCATACATGAGTTGGATTTTGTAATCCCGCAAAATTTTCCCTACAGCGGATGCATTCATTGAGGTCTTCGATAATCTGATAATCTGCAAGATCTTTCCGCAAAATCTTCAATATAGTAGATTGGCTCATTCGGGGCAGGGTAAGTTTCATTATCAATGTTCAAAACAAACTGGTTAAGTAAAAGGTGTAAAAAAATCGTCTCCGAAAAAAGAATTGCCTCATTGAAAACCACATGTTAAAAAATACGTGCCACTTTCAAATAACATACAATGAGTACCATGATCAATCAGCTCCAGAACCATAATCATCTTTGATAAATACGGATGATCCAAGTAGAAGCTCTCTTTTCAATAGCATTTTTTTGACATATCACGCGTGAGACGGTCAAGCTGTCATGTTATATTTGTCTGTCTTGTTTGGCATTTCATTATGAAGATACTTACGAAGACTCAAAAATGATTCCATGAGAACGAAAACGTCAATGGTGACCATTATTGCGCCATGATAACCCATTATTTGATGATTGAATTTGAAGTTCGTGGTCTCGGCGATATTTGGTTTCAACAATATGGCACCACTTCTCGCACATCGCATTAATCAATCGATTTATTGAGAAAACACATGGGTGTATAGATAATTTCACGTTTTGGGCCCGTCGATTGGCCACCAAGATCATATCACACTGTCACACTATCCCACGCACTATACGCCTTTTACTAGCCGAAATGGTGCAAGGAGTCATCGAAAAATAAATGCCAACAAAACAGTTCCTTTGTATGATAGTAAACATTCCCCATAAATTTTGAAATTTTTGTGTTTTTTCTTTAAAAAACTAGGTACCTTGAAATGGAACACCCTTACTTAACTTATTAATGTTTCGTTCAATTAACCCTAGAAGTTTTTAAACGCGTTTTTCTCTACGGACAGTGTCCCCTTATAGAGAAATCGTTTAACTTTCATATCTGCAGAAGTATAGGACCTTTTCTAGAACCGTCAGAAGTCGCTTGACACCTTTTTTTGTTCGCACTCTACGTGTATCCCCTAATGTTTTCGAAAATTCACCTGAATGAATATGTTTGCAAAGCCTCCGCTCAATTTTGTCCAAGATTTCCGTCATCTTTATTGCTTAAATATAACCATTTATTTTTACTTTAAGTTGGTGAATGGTAGTTTAGAATTTTCTGGCCGCAGCGCCACCTATCGGACACATTTTGGTCAGAAAAGTTTGACGGTGGATTTTTCAACAATTTCAGTTGTCAACTATATTGCGAGAATGATTTTGGATTAATGAGTTGTCCAAATAAAAATGAAATAATGAAGTGGACCTTTAGACAAATAAAACTATTTAGAAGAAGGAAGGCGCTAATCGGGTTTGAGTGGAAAAAGCATTTTGTAAAATTGTTAAGTAAAGTAAGTTCTCTTCAAGTAAATTGGTTGCGAACTAAATTCGTATTATTTTAAAAGTTAACGGTATTTACGTACATTAATTTATAACCCTTACAGTTCATATATACTTGTATATACATATATGTACATAAATATTTATACTCACTATCGATTTTGCAATTAACCGAATTGTTGCTCTTCTTTGATGAGTTACGTGACATCTGTGAATGATTCGCTTGCGAATGCGATGGACTCGAGTCGACGGAACGGCGCGCTGCAGCGCTGCTCTGGAATATGGACGGGCCACTCGCAAGTGGACTGGGCGTAACCGTTACCATCGGATGTACGCTGCCTGCAATGGCGGGAAAGTAACACAAAGAAAAGAGATTATTGAAATAAAGATGAGACAATATGCGAAATTGAATTTCGCGCAGAAAATATGATCTAAAAGTATTTAAACAAAATTGTTCTTTCGTTGCATGGACTCACCCGTTTTGCTAGGATCATGTGTCAAATGGCCGCTCAATGAGTGCAGCTTATCGGTGATGCCATGAATCTTCTCCACGAAGGTGTGACGCGCTTCGCTTGCCACTGGCGCTGCAATTTCAGCAATACTGCTGATATTCGGTATGGAGCCTTGATTGACCAAACAGAGAACAAAAAAAAAAAAAAA